CTTATTAGCTAAAAACAATTTTCTAGGCTTTTAGGTACATATTTGAATATAGAAACAAGGTATTGATCAGTAAGATATATCCCAAGAAGTGTCATCTGCACATACATACACACAACTAGCTCTTTTACTGAGGGGATTACTTTTGTGGAAAACAGTCCAATGTTTTACCATTTATTCCTGTTAACATTTTTTATTATGAAATATTACAAACACACAGAAAATTAGAATAATATAACAGATACCTGTGTACTCACTATACAGCCTTGTCAAATCTTTATATTTTGTCCTGTTTCAGTTAAGTAAAAATTAATTATGCAATTGGAACACTCCCTCCTCAATATGTACCCCTTCCCTCATCCTATTTCTCTCCTATCTTGGAGGCAACTACCATTCTGGATTTATTGTTTTTGTGCATTCTTATGCACACATTATACACTATCGTGTGTCTTTAAGAGTTTTTTTTACTAACTGCTACAGTTTTGATACAATGGCTCTATGTTATTTCTTTTATGTGCTGCTGTATTCTATTGTATGAATATTACACTTATCTATTTCTACTTATATTTAGATCATTTTCATAATCTTTGTAATAACAAGCAATACTAGAAAGAAAATTATGATACTCATCTCCTGTTACAAAATATTTTTCCAGATACATATTTAAAAATGGAATTGGAGAATCAAAAGACAGGTGTGTCTCCAACTTTTTTACATGTGGCCAAATTGTTCTCCAAATCAGTTGTCCCCATTCACACTCCAGCTAGCAGCAGATGAGAATTCCCACCTCTTGGTAACTTTATATAGCTTCACATTTTTGCCAATTTGAAAATGTGAAACTTACATTGTTTCAGAGGAAACATTTCCCTAAACACTAACAGTTCATACCTATTTTGAAATGCTTCTGCCACCATAATTTTCTCCCATGTTACTTGCCTATATCTTTGCTTTGCCTATTTTTCTTTTAGGTCATTCATCTTTTCCTTATTGATTTCTAAGCATTCTCTAAAACCTTTTCTCAGACATCTTCCTCCATACTGCAAGCAGATTCTTTAATTTTTAATTAACATATAACATACAGACAGAAAAGTACAGAGATTATAAGTGTATAGTTTGACAAGTTTTCACAAAGGTTACTAGTGGCCACATCACCAAATAGAACACTACTAGCACCCAGAATATCCCCTTTTGTCCCTCCTCCAAAGGGTAACACAATCCCAACTCCTAACACCATGCATCATTTTTGCCTATTTTTGAACTTTATATAAATAGAATTACTACACACTATGTACTGCTTAGTGTATGGCTTCTTTCATTCAGCAATATTTCTGAAAGATTCACCTATGTTGTTTGCTCTTTCTGATACATTGTATTTCATTGTATAAATGTATTACAATTTATTTACCGGAGCTACAGTCAGTAGATATGGATGACAGCTTCAGGGCTCTTCCAAAGAGTGCCACTATGAACATTCTTTTGTACATGTCTTTTGGAAATTCATATCTGCATTCCTGCAGGGCATATACCTAGGAATACAACAGTTGGGTGATAGGGTATTATATGTTCAGCTTTCATAAATACTTCCAAACAAGTTTCAAAGGTAGTTTTTTCAACTTATACTCCCATCTACAGTGTTTGGGGCTTGCAACTGCTCATAGCCTCATCAAGACTTGGTATTATTTGTCTTGCTCATTTAAGACATTCTGGAGAAAATATAGTGAAATCTTGGTAATTTGCATTTTCTACTGAAGTTCATCACCTTTTCAAATATCCTCTCCCACACTGTGACTTGCTTCATTATCAATTTTATGGTGCTCTTTGATGAACACAAGTTATTAGTTTCATGCAGTCCCCTTTTTCTTTTTAATGAGTGCTTTTTGTGTTTAAAAATTTGTATGCTTTCATTTAAATGTTTTATTGTTTCAACCTTGCACACATAGATCTACAATCCATCTGAAATTGATTTTTACATATAGTTGAAGTAGGAGATCAAGATTCCTTTTTTTGATCCAGCACCATTTATTAAAGAGATCATCCTTGCCTCACTGCACTGAAGCAATCCCCTTCTCAAAATTCAAGTGGCTTGTGTGGGTCTGTTACCGGACTCTATTCCAGTGGTCCCCAATCTTTTTGGTACCTGGGACTGGTTTCGTGGAAGTCAAGGGGCACATGGTTTTGGAATGAAACAGTTCCACCTCACATCATCAGGCATTAGTTAGAGTCTCATAAGGGGTGCACAACCTAGATCCCTCGCATATGCAGTTCACAATATGGTTTGCGCTCCTATGAGAATCTAATGCCAATGCTGGTCTGACAGGAGGAGGGGCTCAGGTGGTAATGCTGGCTCGCCTGTGGCTCATCTCCTGCTGTAAAGACTGGTTGGGGCTTGGGGAGCCCTGCTCTGTTCTGTTCAGTTTGTCTATTTGTCTTTTCTTACCTCTGTACCACAGCATCTGAAATACTGCAGTTTTATAAGAAGCCACAATATTTGATGATAAAAGCCCTCTAGGTTTGTTCTGCTTTTTCAAAATTTTGGTGGTTATTTCTGGCCCTTTTCATTTCCATACAAATTTTAGAATCTGCTTTTCAATTTTCAAAAAACTTCCAGGATTGCATTGTATTTATGAATCTATAGATCAATTTAGAGAGAACTGGCATCTTTATAATATTAAGCTTCTCGATCTATAAACATGTTGTATTCCTCCATTTACTTAGGTCTTTTTAATTTCTCTTAATAATTATGTGTTTTTCACTTCCTCTATTAGATTTATTCTAGGTATTTGACTTTTTTGATGCTGTTGTAAATGCTATTCTAAACTTCATTTTCTACTTGCTTATTGCTAGCATACAGAAATACAATTGACTTTGTATACAGCGACCTTACAAAGTATCTTTATAGCTTAGCTACAGATAGAGTCTCAGGACTTTTTTGTGACATAGACAATTGTGTCATCTGAGAATAATGATAGCTTTATTTCTTTGTTTTCAATCTCTACGCCTTTAATTCCTTTTATTTGCCTTATTGTTTTGACTAAGACCTCAATATTGAATAGAATTCAGGTAAAATGAGCATCCTGTCTTAGTCCCCATCTCAGGGGAAAAACTTACCATAATTCACACTAAGTGCAATGTTCTGCAATGATATTTTTTATCCCTAGATTTAAAATATTCATTATATGAGTAGTTTGCTTCATTTGAAAATCCATCTCTTTCTTATCGAAAAAGTAACCTTGAGTTCCTTTAAATTATTTAATTTAACAACATTCAGTAGTACTTGATAAATTTCTGACATATGATTTTCACCTTGAATATTAATGTAATGTATACCAATATTTTTTAAGGAGTCTACCTCTGCTTTGCTGCTTGGATCTCACCTATATGTGTGTGTGTGTGTGTGTGTGTGTGTCTTTAAATAAAAGGAAATAAGAATATATAGACTGGGGTTCATGCTAAAGCTATTCAGGTCACTTATGCATTTATTTATTTATTTATTTATTTATTTATTTATTTATTTATTTAGAGGCTCACTCTAGCACCCAGGCTGGAGTGCAGTGGTGTGACCTCGGCTCACTGCAACATCTGCCTCCCGAGTTCAAGCGATTCTTGTGCCTCAGCCTCCCGAGTAGCTGGGACTACAGGTGCATGCCACCCAGGCCTGGCTAATTTTCGTATTTTTTTTTAGTAGAGATGGGGTTTCACCATGTTGGCCAGGCTAGTCTTGAACTCCCGACCTCAGGTGATCCATCCGCCTTGGTCTCCCAAAGTGCTAGGATTACAGGCATGAACCATGGTGCCCAGCCCACATTTTTTTTTTTATTATACTTTAAGTTCTAGGGTACATGTGCACAATGTGCAGGTTTGTTACATATGTATACATGAGCCATGTTGGTGTGCTGCACCCATTAACTCATCATTTACATTAGGTATATCTCCTAATGCTATCCCTCCCCCTTACCCCCTCCCCACAATAGGACCCGGTGTGTGATGTTCCCCTTCCTGTGTCCAAGTGATCTCATTGTTCAATTCCCACCCATGAGTGAGAACATGCAGTATTTGGTTTTCTGTTCTTGCAATAGTTTGCTGAGAATGATGGTTTCCAGCTACATCCATGTCCCTACAAAGGACACAAACTCATCCTTTTTTATGGCTGCATAGTATTCCACGGTGTATATGTGCCACATTTTCTTAATCCAGCCTGTCACTGATGGACATTTGGGTTGATTCCAAGTCTTTGCTATTGTGAATAGTGCTGCAATAAACATACGTGTGCATGTGTCTTTATAGCAGCATGACTTATAATCCTTTGGGTATATCCCCAGTAATGGGATGGCTGGGTCAAATGGTATTTCTAATTCTAGATCCTTGAGGAATTGCCACACTGTTTTCCACAATGGTTGAACTAGTTTACAGTCCCATCAACAGTGTAAAAGTGTTCCAATTTCTCCACATCCTCTCCAGCACCTGTTGTTTCCTGATTTTTTTAATGATTGCCATTCTAACTGGTGTGAGATGGTATCTCACTGTGGTTTTGATTTGCATTTCTCTGATGGTGAGTGAAGATAAGCATTTTTTTCATGTGTCTGTTGGCTGCATGAATGTCTTCTTTTGAGAAGTGTCTGTTCATATCCTTTGCCCACTTTTTGATGGGGTTGTTTTTTTCTTGTAAATTTGTTTGAGTTCTTTATAGGTTCTGGATATTAGCCCTTTGTCCGATGAGTAGATTGCAAAAATGTTCTCCCATTCTGTAGGTTGCCTGTTCACTCTGATGGTAGTTTCTTTTGCTGTGCAGAAGCTCTTTAGTTTAATTACATTCCATTTGTCCATTTTGGCTTTTGTTGCCATTGCTTTTGGTGTTTTAGACATGAAGTCCTTGCCCATGCCTATGTCCTGAATGGTATTACCTAGGTTTTCTTCTAGGGTTTCTATGGTTTTAGGTCTAACATTTAAGTCTCTAATCCATCTTGAATTAATTTTCATATAACGAGTAAGGAAATATTTTAAATTTAAACTAAAATGAGATTGAGATGATATTTGAAGCCTGAAGATCCACTGATTTATTTTTTTCATTCGACAAGCAATTTTGCAGTAATTAGGATGCACCAAGAACCAGTCTCTGGGGACTTTGAAGGCTGAGTATTTGCTAATTATTTTATTTAACAAGCTTTTTTTTCCCCCTCAAGAAATTATTATGTATCTTGAACTGTACAAGGTCCTGGAGATATGGAGGAGATCTCAAGGAGTTCCTATTGCACAGGGAGAAAATGAGACATAAACAGATATATCCCACAGTATGATAAACACAATAATAGAAGGATGCATGTGGAGATACACATAGGGGTCCCCAGCTCACTCTTGGCCAGGGGCAGTTGGCATCTGTGAAGAGTTTGTACAGGAGACAATGCCTGAGTTGAAGCATAAAAGATACATATGAACTAACTGGGCAAAGAGGAATAGAGGTAGAAATATTGCATCAAAGCAAATGGCCAAAAGTAAACAAACGAAACAGCGTATGTTCATTCAACAAATATTTATTGAGTGGTTCCTATGTCACAGACATAGCATTTGGCATAAGTTTCTGATAAATAAAAATAGACATAGTCCCTGCTCTTCTGAGTAATTTTCAGAAGTAGGGTAAGAGATATTTATAAAATCCTATTTGAGACTTTTTGTCCAAGTATTCATTAACCTCCAAACATATTCTTATAGTCTGAATATTATTACATTACTAAAACAGAAATCAGTGTCTAATAAGTAGCTATAATTTCAGAGGCAGTTTTCCAATACTTTTAGTGGGAAGTCTCAGAAATTCATTTACAGTTTGATTTTTCCATCTTGAACTATAGTTTCTGTTTTTTTGAGACGAGGTCTCACTCCGTCGCCGAGGCTTAGGTGCAGTGCTATGATCACAGCTCACTGCAGCCTTGAACTCCTGGACTCAAGTGATCCTCCCACCTCAGCCTACAGAGTAGCTTGGACTAGAGGCATGTGCCACCACGCCTGGCTAATTTTTTAATTTTTTTGTTGTTGTTGTTAGAGATGAAGGTCTCACTATGTTGTCTGGGCTGGTCCTGAACTCCTGGCCTCTCGTGATCCTCAAACCTCTGTCACTCAAAGTTCTGGGATTACAGGCATGAACCACTGTGCCTGGCAACTTAGATTACAGTTTCTAAATGAAACTGTTTTATAAGTGATGGTTAGGTTTACCCTCCAGCACTCAAAGCCTATTTAACCCATAATATACATAAAGTATTAATAGTTCTATTTCAAATACACTGAATCATTTATTATGCAATATCCAAGAAAAAATGCTAGGCTTTAGGGATACATGTTTGTAAAAGATGACACAGCCCTCGGTCTCATAGAAGTTACAATTTAGTAGAAGAGACAAATAACTAAACAACCACACAAATGAATGTATGATGATGACCTGAGATGATGGCTATAAAATGAATGGACCAGTGGAGACATAATGAAACACCACAGCCTACACCTTGGGTCTGGAAAGACCAATGTGGCATCCAGGCAAAGGAGTAGAGGAAGAACATTCTGGAAAAGGTATTAAAGGAACTGGGACAAGGTCAGTGTGGGTGGTGTAGGGCAAGAGAGGAGGACAGTGGCATGAGAAAGGCCATGTCCAGACTATACTTTGCCTAGTGAGCCATACCATTTCTTTCTAATAGCAAAAAGAAGTCCCTGGGAGACTAAAAACAGTGCAGTTAGTATCATGATAGATTTACATATTAAAATAGTTCATCCTACCTACACTGTGAAAAAATATGCTACAGAATCTATGTGAAAAAAAAAGATGCTAGAGTCCAGTTGGATGCATGGCATCCAGTTAGAAGGTTTCTGCACTGATGAAGGAGAGGTGACAGTGGCTCACACCAGAGCGGCAGTAGTAGAGATGTAATAAAAGATTAATGAGCTAGAAAGCTACTTATGTGATAGGACCTGGTTAGGGATTACTGAGAGGGTTGAGAGAAAGGGGTTGTCTAGAATGACTACACATTTTCAGGGCTACTTAGGAAGTAGAACTGATTGAATGTTGGGGGTGAAGGAGAAAAATGAATGGGCAGTATCCAGATAGATATACAGCTTGAACAATAGGATGGATGGTGATATAGCCACTAACATCAACTGAGACACAGCAGGAGGCTTAGGAATAAAGGTGATGAGTTCCGTTTTGGACTTGTTGCATTTAGATACATTGGGTATCGAGATATGAGGCTAGCATATGATTACAGGATAGCACTCTGATACTTGAAGACTGGAGAAGAGATGTAGATATGGGGAATCATCATTTTGCAGGTTACACATGCCCCATCAGTGGGGTTGAGATGGGACTGTGAGGAAGTATGACTGTTAAGAAAATAGGGTTGCAGGTCTGATCACGTCTTGCATTAATTAATGCAGAGTCCAATTAATGAAAGTCCAAATTAACAAAAGAGTGCAACCTCTTTTCAGTAAAATGTTTATACAGTTCCCAATAATTTATACCTTGTCCATGCAATCTCCCTAGGTCTAACTGCTGGCTTGCCTCCAGGAAAGCAAAGTGACTGAGAATCAGATCCACTAGTCACCATTTTACTCTAATATAGTGAGATCGTGCATTGAGTGAAGAAAAGCAGAATTATTTTCAAATTTCAGCCTTTTTTTGCAATCTTACTGTTCCTGTCTGAGAACTGGTCTTTCACCATTCTTTCTACTACTGCGACATACCAACGTTTATGGAACAGTACACCCAAGCCAGGCTCATTGTTTACCACTTTCAGGAAACTATTTGCAAACCCGAGACGGGATTAGAACACTCATTATAGCTAACATTTATTTTTTTCATTATTAAACTTTATTGGGTATCAACAAAATGAAAAATTAGATTTGGTACAAATCTTGAGAAATAAACTTTTATTTCAAGCCTTGTTAAAAACATGTCTAAAATAATTTGGTTCACTTTCCTGCTTTCCAGAAAACCACTACATAAAATATTTGCTACATCTCAAGGTATTCAGAAGGTTCTATTCATTAGAACTCTTGGTTGCAAGTGACAGAAACCTACCTGAACAATAAGCTGCTTTCTTTCCACTTGAGTTGCTTTCTCCCTGTGTCTAAGTAGCAAGAACATGGAATAATTCTCATTGGGCTTGTATTGCACCAAGGTGCCTTTTTGCCCAATCACCTTGGTGAAGAGATGAGATATTGCCTTGGATCATGCCTGGGCCATCTACCCAACTTGTGGTCAGAAGGAAAGTTCTGCTACCAGAATAAAGAAGATGGCAAATTAACAAGACAGAATAATATAGTCACTACAACACAATTCACACGATGACGATGAGAATCCAGTACTTTGGTTGGCATGAAAAAAGAAGTGACAATACCTAAGAGTCATCACTGTGAATGATGATTGTCATTGGAGACATCAGAGTAAGATTAGGGGTGAGATTAAAAAAAGTAACTGTACATTCTTAGTATTTTTAAGGTTTTAAAGTCATCTTTGTAGTAAATTATTAATCTCTGGAAACTAAAATATGAAAATCATTTTCAGTTACTTTTTGATCTAAAAATTACCATTTTTAGTTTAGGTTTTACTACATATAATCCAAGTATAATGAAGGATAATTTAGGTCAATAATTTTTAATTTGATAATTGAGCTAATATTTTCATGATCCATTAGTCATAGACTCATATGGTAATTTCCTCATGAGATTCTGTATTAAAAAACAATGTCGGCCAGGTAAGGTGGCAAGTGCCTGTAGTCCCTGCTACTCAGGAGGCTGAAGTGGGAGGATGGCTTGAGGCCAGGAGTTTGAGGCTGTAGTGCACTATGATTGTGTCTGTGAATAGCCACCGCACTCCAGCCTAGGCAACATAGCAACACTTGTCTCTAAAAGAGCAAACAAACAAAAACTGTCTCCCCAAACAAAACAAAAAACAATGTCAATATGATATCTTACGAACATTAATTATAGATTTGAGTAAAAAGGAAGCTGTATCTAGCCACGGTTCCCGGCAGAACTGAAAGCTAATAATAAATACTCAATGTAGCTGATTCTTTGTACCACTCTTTCTTCAAAAACTTTTAAAAAAATTAATTACAAGGATGACAAAGCCACTTTTCAAATATGATAAAAACAGAGAATACTATTTTTAAGAGTCACTCACTGAAATGTGAACACTTAAATGACCAAGAAACTAATAATTTCCAGAATATGTTTCAACAGCAAAATTTGAAATTTATGTGTATTTTGTTCCCTGTCATGGTTCACCAACAGTTCATAATGTACAATTAATAGTAGTTTTATTGTTCATAATACATCGTCATTTTTATATGAAATTAGTCAAGGACAGTTGTTTTACTCAGAAATATCATGTGAGTCTTAAGTAAAGCAAATTTCAGGTGAATAAGACATTCAATCTTCCTTTTAAAATTCTTCTGCCAAATTTCAAATAGGCTTTAATGCTTTAGAGGTCTTGGCATTTGAAACAAGACCATGAAACTTGGTCATGTAGTTAACATTTTTTAAACCCGACTTCATATTTTGAACCTTTTTGAAAATGATTTTGTGTAAATTTCTCTGGAATTTCAGCTGTAAGGGTACTCTTCTAATCTGGCTTTTGTAGGTGATATGGTTCAATCTCATGAAGACTAAAATGATTATATGACTGCAAGTTCAGTACCCTTTTTAATGCAAAAATATTCTCTGTGTTTGTGTTAATTTGATATGTCACAGGTGCAGAAAGCATTGATTACGTAGCTGTACAAAGACAGAGTTATTTGAAACCTCCTTAGAGTTTTACAAGAGTTTTAAAAGCTTGTAAAACTTGGGATGTTAACAAATGGAGAAAGTGGGACATGAATATTAGATAGAACCAGATTGGAAAACACCTTGCCATTCTGACGTTTATTCACGCGCTACCTTGGGCAAGCCCCTTAACATTTCTGAGCCTTAGTTTTCTTGTTTTTAAGTGCAGATAATAATTATCTAGTTCAGAGGATTGTTTATGGGCTAAAAAATATGACAAGTGGAAAAGCTGGCATGTAGCCACTCAATAAGTAGTTGCAGTTATTATTTGGTTCTGTTAAATGGAATAAACCTCAACTTTGAATATTTAATCTTGAATAAGAAGCTTGAGGACCTAAAGTTATTTTTAAAGCTTATTACCTGAGCCAAATCTTATGCCCAAGGTGGCTTTACTCAAACTTGCCAATAGATGTAAATAATCATTCTCTCCATCTTCAAAAGTAACCACTGACCCTAAGTACAGTGTCACAAAAGTGCAAACTGACCACATTCTACAGCTCTGAATTCATCAGAACCCAATTATATCCTGAATGTTGCCCATTAAGGTTGTTGATCATACAACAGGAAAGCCTGACAAGTACCTTCCTCAGTTTACACCTGAAACAGAACACTGGGCTTCATCTGTACAGTAAGAATTTCAATTTTTGAATTCACAGATGCTGGAATTCCACTCTGATATTTCAATTCAACGAGTCTAAGCTGCAGCTGTAAAAAGCTCCTCAGATCACACAAATTGTGTTTTTTAATGTGTTTGTCTGTTACCATACTGTTCACAGTTTTTCTATGTTAGTAAATATCTTTCTACAACATAACTTTAAATGGCTTCATAATATAGGCATGCTGCTGGACTTTGTTTCAAACTTGTGATTACCTTCCAGTGCAAGATAGACATCATGTATGTTAATACTCTTGCTATTTATAAAGTGACAGTGACGTGAGTCTTGAATCTTACAGCCCAAGCCCAGTCACAACATTTTGCGGAGCGGAATGATTACCAGCATCATTGGCTTTGGTGTCAGCATGAATTCATGCCCCATCTTTGGACAAGTCAGTTAGCAATGCAGGTCCCTGTCTCTACCTCTGTTAAATGAGGATGATCATAATACCACCTCCTAAGGCTTCGAGAATGATTGAATCTGAATATGTCAAACGCTTAGCACAATGCCTACCACATAGCAAACACTCAATAAACCTTAATGATTGAGGAAAAACTAGGCAACCTTTGACATCCAGGAGCTGGCCAGGCATGCACAGCTGGGCCTGGCTATTCTACTGATCATAAACAATGTCATAGAATATCAGGTGAAACCACTTAGGGACCATGATGGAGCATGACAAGAACAAGACCACTCTAATCATGCCTGAACACAGGCAAAACACATCTACTGTCCAAACCACAAAATCCAAAACAGTCCCTGGCTAAGATGAGTGACAGCCACTTCTTTACCAATCACAGCTTCAGTTGCAATCTGGTCTTTCCTCCTCCTAAGTAAGATGTAATCAAATATCGAACCCTAAAATCCCCTCTTCATGACACTAACAAATGCAGAGGAAAACCTTACTTCCTTAACTCCTTCCAAGGAGAATGGCTTCAAGCCACCAAATCACCTAACACAAGCTCAAGTCTTCCATTAAGCCTTTTCTAACTCCCTCACTGAGGCTCCTCACAACCTCCCATGGTGCGCCTTCTCCCTGGCTGAAATAAACAATACACAACTTGTTCAACTCAAGTTCAACAAGTGTGTTCCTAGTGGTCTTCGGTTGGAGGGCATTGACGGCAGTATTCTGGAACACTTTCTTCATAATATAACCACAATCTAGGTAGCTTGATTTTTCCCTTGGAATTACATCCCTATAACTTCTGAAGAATTAGGGGTGGAAGCCAAGAAGCAATGAAAGTCAACTCCACTAGACCTGAGAAGCACCAACAGAGATTAAGGATTAAGAAGCATTGCAAGTTTTGTAAAAGGATCACTATAACTTTTATCAGAATATTCGTTAACCACAAGATACCTTTTTAGGATGTAGGTCTGCATATTACCTAAGACCAAAGGAAGAAAAAAAAAATCTAATTGTAAGGTCATCCAGTTCTAAGGTCAAAGTTGTAAGGTCATAGATTGTTCTTAACTCTATAAATGGGTTGTTCCAGAAATTCATTTAAAGTTTGTTTCTAAGCTAAAACAGACATTCTAGTTGAAACCATATCATAAATGGTAACTAGGTTTACCCTTCATTCCCAAAGCCTACTGAATACTGAATACCTGTGAAACGATATTTCAAATGCAACATCAATTACGTCTACATGTCCATGGCAAAATGCATTCTCACCATCAGAAGTCTATCTCATCAGTGTCACCAAAATTAGCAAGAAACATCATGCCAGATGCCAATAACCTAACTCTACAACTGCAGGAGGGGCGTGACCAGGATGCTTTTGCTGCATGGAGGTTTATTATGTTACAGAGCAAGAAGTTTGGCGTTAGGCAGCAGGATTAGTTAATTCAGTGCGCCAGGGGCTCAACAGCTTCCCAGTGACCGAGGTGAGGGAGTGCCAGCCTTGGGCTCTCATTCTCAGAGCCTCGGTGATGATGGCCAGCTCCGTGGTGCCAAGGTGGCTACAGCACTGACATCTTCCCTAACCCCGCATTCTGACGCAGACGATAAAACGCAGTGAGGAAAAGGAGACTTTATGCCAAATGTATTTCTTTTGGAGGGAGGCAGGTGGAAAATATTTTCCAGAAGTACTCACAGTTCCCCATTTTAACTCGCTATGAGAATTTCTCATTGGCCAGGCGTGTATCACATGACCATACTTAAACCAATCACTGTAAGAGGAAGGGGATTGCCGGATTGGTTTAGATCAGTAGTTCTCAGCCCCGCCTGCACAGTGGAATCACCTGGGAACTTTGGAAACAAAATTCCAACTCCTGGCAACAGTATTTTAAAAAGTTTTCGAAGTTCCCCAGCTGTTCCAAATGTATACCCAGAAGTGAGTCCTACTGTATTAGCCCGATCAAGTTTCACTCCAGCCTGAGCCCTGGTGGAAGGTCTGCTCTGACAATGTGGGATGGCAAACACCTGAACAAAATTGGGCCTCTGCCGGGGGGGGGGGGTCGGGGGGTGGGACGCAACTAACTGGATCCGGCACTGCACTCACCTTGCTAAGAGAAGGAATTCCTGTAGATCAGTGACCCCTAGGTGACCTATAATGAGAAATCAAAAAGATGTGTTATAAGATTTAATGGTTATCTTAATTCCAATAAAAACAAGACCACTCTAATCATGCCCGAATACAGACAAAACTACTGTACAAACCTCAAAAACTGGAAAATGAGGAAAACACCTAAGTTGCAATTCAAGACTGCTTTCCTCTCTGAGGCTTTTCCAGACACTCTCCCTCCTCCTAGAGAGAAGTAAGCTCTTGTGTCTCCTCTATTCCACACCAGCTTTATTAGGGTATGCACATAAGGCCTGAACTTGATTGCTTGCTGCTCTGCCCTCCTGAAATGTGCCCTCTGGGAGGACGGGGGTAATGTATGTATTCTACTTTGTGTGTCTAGCAACCAGCACACAGAAGGTCCAATAAATATTTGTTGAATGAGTGAATGAATGAATGACTGAATGGGGGACACGGAGAAACAGATAAGAAATGCCTGATGTTAAGAGCAAATATTTACCTAGCACTTATATGTCAAGCACTACGCAAAGCCATGTACACTGAATTGACTCATTGACTCCTAAAAAAACCCTACGATGTAGGAGCTACTATTTCCTTCATTTTAAACATGAACAAAGTGTATTACAAAGAGACTAACCACTTGTCCATGGTCACAAGCTAGAAAGTGACAACCATGGGACTGGGTCCTGGAGAGTGGTTTGCAGAGCCGGCCATGTTCTTAACCTTTACACCCGAGAGGAAAAATGATGCTCCTGCATTAAGGGTGTAGCCCTCTCTAATGGATCCTAATCTGGAGGAGGGCTGTAAGGGGTGCTGCCATTGGCAGGCTTTGTAACTTTTAGGTTCCTGAAGGCTTTTGCATTCTTGGACTTTTTAGAGGGACAGGGAAAGAGGAATTCCTCAATGACATAAAAAAGGGTGGAAATGGGGAGAAACAAAGGAAAGCATCTAAAATCCTAATCCTGAAAGGGTAAAGCCTGGAGCAGAACTCTCCAATCATGGGCAGGAAAAATAAAAAGGTGAATACTTCAATTATGGTTTACACAGAACGTGCAATTACATGTGCTTCCAAGCTGCCCCTGCCATTTGTGGGGACCACCACCATCTACTGTTCTCATCTCTGATAAACCACAACCTGGAGAGGAATCATGGTTCCAGTTCTAGTTTCTGCACTGTATTACCCCAAAGGCCGTTTGACCATCTTCCCCCAACCTTTAACTCCTCTGTATTGCCCTTATTCTGGCGGATGCAGCTATTACTCACCCAATTCCTTGAGCCAGAAAACCTGGAAGTCTCCCAAGATTCCTCCTTCCCTCTCCTTCCAATTGGCCTTCCTTCCTCTCCAACTGGCCACCGAGTTTTGTGGGTTCTATTTCCTAAATGAATCTGTTCATTCATTTCATATTGATTATGGGCCACGAATACGCCATGACTTGGATAAGACCCCTATCCCCAGCTTCAAAGAGCTTACCGTCTTAATGAGGGCATTTTGCAAATGAACAACCCATTCTACAGTACAGTGGTACACGCAAGAAAGGGAACGCAGAGTCCTGGGAGGGAACACCTCAGGGCTTTATGATTCATCTTGGGAAGCCTGAGGGCTTTTCTGCTGGCAACGCCCATGCTGAAATATGAAGGATGTATACCAGGAACCTGGTGAAGGAAGTGTGAGGAAGGGAAGCAAATGCAACTTTCTGGAGGCTAGAACAGAGTAGTGGAAGTTCACCAGGTCCGCAGAGATTAGCCTGGAAGCTGGTCTCCAGCCCGGTCCTAATCCAGTACCACTGCCCAAGGCTTTCCAAAACTCAAAAGAAAAAACCCAGCACCGTCCTTTCTGTCCCTGGAAGTTTGTCCTTCAAGTCTCCCATCACTTGTCATTCGTTCATCAAGTATTTACCTAACACCCACTCTGTACAGGTACCATATTGATAGCGGCCTCAAGGGTGCCTTCCATTTAGGGAATTTTCAGTCTATTGGAGCAGATAGACCGTGGGGGGCATTCCGGGGATGCTGGGGGCTGTGAGGTCACGCTAGAAGCTGACACTGAAGATGTCAACTACCCTTTAAGGACCCCTCTGCCTCACTGCCCACTGCTCACCCCGTCACTGGGGGCTCCAGGCCTGCCACCGGCTTGTCCTCTGAAGGGATAAGCAAGTGTTCTATTCACTGCCCGGAGTGCCCTTCTGCCCTCGCCCGAGGCCACTGCCCGCCTGGGGCCAGCTCCAGTGCTGCGTTCTCCTAGCGTGGCCACACTCATCGGCGCGCGGCTCTGCCAAGGGGGCTGACGCGGCGCGCACGGCCAGGGAGCTCTTGGGGGCAGACGCCTTCCAGCCTCCCGGCCGCCGGGTGCCTACTCCAGATCGGCTCTCTTCCTAGGCGCCTCCCACGCCCGGGCCGGAGAGCGGGCGCTCGGGGCGACGGACGACCCTGCGCGCACGTGGGCGCAGCCTGGAGGCCGCGGGGACCCTCTCCCATGGGGGCGACGGGAGACGTCCTGCCGGTAGACCTTGGCCAGGGGGTCGCGCTCCCCGCCCGCACCCCTCCCGAAGCCCCGGCGGGGACGTGCGGGGGCGCGCCCGGGCGGGAGCGCGCGCGCCAGGCGCCTCCGAGGTCCCCGCAGCGGCTCGGGGAGGGCGGAGGAGGGGCCGAGGGCGGGGCGGCCGCAGCCTCCGCCATTCCCGGCCCCCCCCGGCCGCGGCGCACCGCCTCCCCGCCCCCGCCCGCCCTCCCCCACAGCGCGCGCTCCGCCCGCCCCGGAGCCTCGCCCTCCGCCACGATGAGCAAATGAGCGCGAGCGAGGGCATGAAATTTAAATTCCACTCAGGGGAGAAAGTGCTGTGCTTCGAGCCTGACCCCACCAAGGCGCGAGTGCTGTACGATGCCAAGGTGCCGCCGCGGAGGGACAGGGAGGAGGCGCGGGCTGGGGGACCCGGGACCGAAGGCGGGGGCGGGGGCGGACGGCCGCGCGGAGCTGAGGGACCGGCCGGGCTCCTCGGCCTGCGAGGAGCGGTGCAGCCGGCAGGGGGCGCTCACAGGGCGCTGCGCCTGGGTGTCGGGGCGGGGTGTGGGATGCTTTCACTTCCTTCCGTCAGGCCGGGAGGCGCACGCGCGGTTGGAAGCCTCGCCAGTGCTTTGTCGCGTTACTGGGGCTACCGTTTGCGCCCCGGACTGCAACGGTGGCCGCTGAGGGAGGAGGCCTCTCGAATACGGTTTCTGTCTTCGCGTTAAATCTCTCCTCCTCTGCGGCCCAGTGCCGGGTGGGCTCCTGTGGGACGGCCCTGGCCGTCCGATCCAGGTTCTAATTCATAGTTCCACGGCGCTGGCCGCTGACTTGCGACGTTGTGTCCCTGGGACCCTAGTCCAGTTTAGGCCCCATCCTTCCTGTAGGCCGTGAACCCCACCCCGAGGGCAAGGTTGGCCCAGTGTTTTCGTACCCCAGGGCCTTGCAGCATTTGCGTTTTCAAACTCTGAAGGATTTACGTGGGTCTGACCATAGTTGATGGGAATCGCGCCCTGGGCGGGTCCACCTAAGTCTCCGAGAGCTGAGCCACATCTTGCAGCTCCTCAGAATTGGGTGGCGGGCAGGAGTTGGCAGCAGGTCTCCCAGTTCCCCAAGGAAAGCACCCAGGTGCTTTCATTTAAGAGACTTGGCTTCCTAGGGCCTCCTGGGCGAAGCCTTAGGCGGCAGAGACAAGGGCAGTCCCACGTGTGTCTTTGGCGATGTCTGGACAGCTCTGTCAATTAGAGATGCTAAAGGACATCCCTAAAGGGATGAGCATATTCTGCCTTCAGTTCCCTCCCCTGCTGCTCCTGTCTTCTAACCTCGTCTGCTGTCCCTCTTTCTCCTTGACCCCGAGCCTCCTCACGGGGCGACACGCCCCATCATTAGTCTTAGTTCTCTCTAGGGACATAACAGGGAGGGATTCCAGAGTCTCCAGCCAGCCGTCCTGGCACTGGATATAGGGGAGCCCAGGAAACTACAACTCCCAGAGGTCTCAGGGCTGCAACTTTCATCTAGCCTGGACTCTTTCCTTAGTGACAAATCGGCCGGCCAATGGCTTCAGGAGCCTCACACTGTCTCACGCTCAGAGACCAATCACGGGGTGGTTGGACGGATGTTTCCTATTTTGAAGGCGTCCACTCGGGGAAAAAATGATAATTGAAAGGCAAAATATTTCAACCCAGCTCTCGGTCTAAAAGAGGAGAGAATGCTTTCTTTTCTTTAAAAAGGGGTCTATGAATTAGTTTTCCTGATGTAACTTCTAATTTTCTGTATGTCCTTTCATTTGTGGGGAATATTTCTTGGTTTCAGATTGTTGATGTTATTGTTGGGAAAGACGAAAAAGGCAGAAAGATCCCAGAATATCTGATCCATTTTAATGGTTGGAACAGAAGGTGAGTGAACTTGTTAAACCAGACTGAAAATTGATTGTCTTTGCAGCCCAGGAACTTTGCAGACTTCTTTTAAGTTTTAGAAACACTTGTAGAGAACTTTGTTTCATTTCCTGTTTTTACTTTGTAACACTGCAAACTTCTTTAAGTTTTAGAAACACTTGTAGAGAAGTTTGATTCATTTCCTGTTTTTACTTTGTTACCAGAACTTGCCTATTCTGAGGAATAGTTACTTTTAAGTCGATTGTATTTGAATTCTGTCTGGGTGATTCTGGAAACCCCAGTTGTTTCTCTGTCTGAATGAGTTACTTTTTCAGTTTATTTGCCTCCTGTTTGTGATTTTAAAATATTTAAATCGTTTTCTAAAATGTAATTCTGGGGCATTTCTATTGCTTTGAGGTACTTTTAGCCTTTGTTTTATATCAAACTAAAGTACTGAATTTTCCTTTTTTGTTCAATTAGCTGGGATAGATGGGCAGCCGAAGATCATGTGCTTCGTGATACCGATGAAAATCGTAGATTACAGCGTAAATTGGCAAGAAAAGCTGTAGCTCGCCTGTAAGAATACACAAATCAAGATATAAATGTTATCCAATGTGTTTTCTCTTAGTGTTTTAGACTTTTATGATAGTAATAAAATGACAAATATTTATTAAGTAATTTTACATATTTAAAGTGTGTAAGAGGAAGAGTGTTCCTATGGTATTCTAAATAACCTTAGTGATTTCAGATTGGTTATTGTATAATCTTCTGAAATGGAAATTACCATTTATGTTCTGAAGTTTAATGATTTTTCAAATGTATTTCATTGTTTATTATATCTTGTTTTGATCTCAGGACTCAAGAGTTCAATGTTAAAATTTATTTCAGTTGTTTGCTACTCTTTTTCAGGAGGAGCACAGGAAGAAAGAAGAAGCGCTGCAGGTTGCCTGGTGTTGACTCTGTCTTAAAAGGCCTCCCCACTGAAGAAAAGGATGAAAATGATGAAAACTGTGAGTAGCTTCACTTCATTTTCTTTGGCTGAAAGAACTTCCACCTAGACCGAGAGAAGGATTCATTGAAATTCTAGACAGGGAAACACTTCAAGCTCATTATGTATAATATTTGCTCCATTTATTTTTGACAATTAAAGTAGCAGTCAATATAAGTCGATAAGTCAGTAATAGCACCTTAGCAGAGTCATGCTTGTGACTGCTGCCCTCTCAGCCAGCATCTTTGTACAAACCCCTCACGGGTGTGTTCTCATGGGATCTGTTCTCTTTTTGGCACCTCCCAGACCTTAGTCCCATTTATGAATGCAATAGGAAACTGTAGGATCCTAACTGACAAAACACTTTCCGATCATTAGCTTGTGTGATTTTTGCATCTGTTGAAATTGGTTGTCAAAATAAATTTCTATTGTGAAAGATACAGCATTTGTGTTTGGCATTTAAAAATACATGGAATTGCAGTTTGTTATTTCCAGTAGCACCCGCACTACAGGTGAAGATCTGTAGACATAAGGGTTGGTGAAGTATATAATGCAAGTTCACCAGATGCTTTTGTTTCACCTAGCATTAAGCAGTTCCTCTGACTGTAGTGAAGACAAGGATGAAGAAATAAGTGAAGAAAGTGATATTGAAGAAAAGACTGAGGTGGTATAAAGTTTTTATTGTAAAAACTTTCTCTTTGTTGTATATTTTGGTGGTAAAAGTTCACGGTGAAATACTCCAGTTGTGAATTGTTTTCTAAAGATACATCTTTTAAACCAATAATGTAAATTTTTATCTGACATTTAAAGAAAAACAACCCTTATAGTCACCGTATGAGTCTCTCAGTGGCTCTTTATGCCCCTAAAATGTTTCCACATATTATAGTTATCTGTCTTTCCAGTCAAATAATTTGTTTTATAATGATAAATTTCTTTTAATGGAGTCTACAGACTGTGATGTCTTCTGCCTGCCTCCAAAGTTAGTATAAATCCGACTGGTAAACTTAAATGGGAAAGAAATGAAATACATATTTGCATTGTGTTTAGTGCCGCCAAACAAGTTAACTTTTGGCCGTTAACATACTTTTAATTAGAACACCTGGCATACTATGATTATTGAGGATTAGCTGGGTTTGTTTCATAGCAGGCCTTCCTTGGATATTGACTCTCCTACTGTTTTAAATAGTTAAAAATGGAATTTTGATATTGCAGAAAGAAGAACCAGAGCTTCAAACAAAAAGAGAAATGGAAGAAAGAACAATAACTATAGAAATCCCTGAAGTTCTGAAGAAGCAGCTGGAGGATGATTGTTACTACGTTAACAGGAGGAAACGGGTATGTAGGGAGAATGCATAAAACATTGATTTGTTTGGCATTTTCATTTTGCCATATTTTGCAGTCATAGACGTAAGCAATAACGAATTTTGGAGGAATGAAATTTATATTTTTCAGCTTTGTACTGAGTCAGGTTTTAAAGTTCTCTGCCAGTGGTGCTGTGCAGCTGATTAAATTATAACTCACACAGCCCTGGCTGCCCATTAGGGTTGTGTTGGGAGCTTTCCAGAATCCTGCTGCTTGTGCTTCAGCCCAGAAGTTAAGAATTAATTGATCTGTGGTGGAGCCCAACTGCAGGTATACTTGAAGGAATCCCCCAGGTTGTTCTAACAGATCACTAAGCTTAAGAATCACTGCTTACATCTATTCAAAAAAGTAATATTGTAATCAATATAAGGTTATGATCAGTAGAGGAAAAAAGATCAAAGAGATTGCAAACATATTTAAGAAGTTCTATTCAAACAGAATTGGCTTTGCTTTATTTTTGAGTTAAAAAATGGTACAGACATGACCAGTGTTTCTTGGAATATGTGGTTTGTTACATTAGGATGCATAAGTCTATGTTTTTGTTAACAGTTAGTGAAACTTCCATGCCAGACCAACATCATAACGATTTTGGAATCCTATGTGAAGCATTTTGCTATCAATGCAGCCTTTTCAGCCAATGAGAGACCTCGTCACCATCACGTTATGCCACATGCCAACATGAACGTGCATTATATCCCAGCAGAAAAGAAGTGAGTACTGGCATGTTTGGTATTTTGCGGTTCTCTCTGTATTAGAGAGGTGGCTTCCATTTAGAATAGGTGACACTTGTCTCTTCTCAGTTATTTTGAATTCATTTAATGTTTAATAATTGATAATTCATTG